AAGGAACTTCCCAATCATTCCGCACGTATAGGAACCACTCCTTCCAACTCCCCCATTTATTCTCATTTTTCTTCAAAAACTTGCATTTCGGCCGAGGATGAAAATGAAAATTAGGCGCTTTGTCCCTCAGCGGTTTCACAAGAAACATGGAGTGAAATAAATTCGCCGAAATTGGAAAACCCTCGGACTCAGCGCGATGACAAAACCCTTTGAAGTAAAGAAATGCGTTCGGCGTTAATTGACTGAGGCTCACCTTCACATCTCGACAAATTTGAACAAGAACCGGATGAGGTGGCAAAGTAAATCCGACCGAAAATGATGCAAGGAATACCGTAAAGTAGCCATCAGGAGGGGCATAACATCTCTCCCCCTTACACGGAACCAATATCTCAATAGCATGCTCGACACGTAGATAGTCCAGAATCTCGGGCAGTTGACCAACTCTAAAGGAAGAGTCGAAATTTAATTCGGAACATATTCCTGAATATTCCTCAGAAACACTACCGCCGGAAAAATCGGTTAATTCTTCTTCCTCATCGGTCAACACGCTCTCGTCCACCTCGAATTCACGTCTTCTCTTCGACCCACGAACCACGGAATTTTTCAGAGAAAAGTTCGTCCCAAACACATTAATCCGTCGAGACCACGCCCAAGTCTCAGGATCGCTACATTCTAACTCCACGGAACGAAACTCCGGGCCCACATCAGGGTTGGGAGCTGAAACACGAGGTTCGGCGGAAAAAAGGACTCCGAACGGCCCTGCACGCGCTCCACACGCGCCGGAAACGGCCCGGACGCGCCTCCACGCGCGGAACAGCTCCCAGCAGCCGTTCCCACGCGCCCCACGCGCTCCGGGTGGTCCCCGCCCACGCGCTCCACGCGCGCCACGCGCCCGGCATTCCCAGGCCCCGCTCCGTGTGACGTCACGCTGACGTCACACCGCACTCCCGCCCGAGTTAACCCGGTCATCCGAGCTGACTCGCCCGATTCACCTGACCGAGTTGACTCACTCAGCTGAGTCGACTCACCCGACCGAGTTGCCCAGCCCGACCGGTCCGACCCGCCTGCCCGAGTCGACTCACCCATCCGACTCGCTCGATCCGCCCGAGTTGACCCGCCCGACCGCCCAGCTGCACAGTTTTCCACGCTCGGTGACGTCACGCCTCCTAGGGCTGACGTCACCCCCTCCTTTCTGGCACGGAATTCAATGCCATAGCCGCCAGTACTGGAATTTTCCTCGAACAACGAACCATTACACTGTTTCGCACATAACTTCTCGCTCGCAACTCCGAATTTCACAAAATTGGTACTCCTGGACTCCAAATTTCGACCTCTTTCCACTCGGCTATCAAGATTTTTCGAATTCCCATCTTCAAAATTATCGGATTCCGAATGAACTCCACATAGTTCGTCGCTAGACTCGTCCAACAACCTTAGACCCGACATTAAATTCCTACGCCTATATCAAACGCAATTTCGAGGCTCCAAACGACAAAATACGGGTAAAACCAACGACACAAGGACTCGAATAAAAAAGTAAGGATTTGCAAAAAAATATTTATACCTTTGGAAGTTCGCCAATTATTCTTAAATCTCGCTAGCACAATTCTGGAAGAAGAAACCACAAGAATCCAAAATAAAAAACCCTACAAGGGCATGGATGGGCTTATATACTACTTCCAACTAGGCTCACAAGCCCATGACCCAACTTGGAAGTGGGGGGCTTAATGATGTGTCTAATCATAATTAGGCCCATAAACCTAATTAAGATTAGGCCCAAATTGCCCTAAATTAATCTAATTGTGTGAAAACTCAATTACATTACTTTTAACCTATAAAAGTAACAACACATTGTCCCACATCGGATTTTTACAAAAAGTCCTACCTATTCATCCACCTATAAATATATGTGTCATTTCACATAGGAAGGTACACTCTAATTTGGCAATTAATAATTACTATTTGCTTATATTAATACATCTTCTGACTTGAGCGTCGGAGGATAATCGCCGGGCCAAACCCGGCGTGTCATCTAGTGTTTCAATTGTTTTGTAGGTTAACGAACGGAGCAATCCCTTCGACTACCTCGGACACGTGGCAGTGACTCACGGCATTCTCTATCTTTGTGGGCTCAAGGACATTTGGGTTGCCCAATTGGCATTTGAGCAGCATCAGGCAGTGATGTGGCAGCGGTTTGGTAGAGAAGATAAATGTGAGACGGTGGCGAATAATAGTGGCCTACCGGAGAAGAAAATTGTCAGGCGGTGGTGATGTGGCGGTGATCCGGTGAAGAAGAGATAAAGAGAGTATGAAATATGCTTTCTTTTCCTTTTAAACGAATCGAAGAAGAATTAAGAAGCTTGAAGAGTGAAGAGTAATGGAAGTGTGTTGTGGGTGTGGGCGACCGCTGAAGGACATAGTTTAGAGGATTATGATTTAGGATTAGTAATATTGAAATATCTATATTTTAATATAATAATTATTAAATAATATCTAAATAATATCATGAGAGGCGAGGTCGAAATTCATCGAGCCAGGTCAAATTGCCATTCCTAATGTTAAGGATCTGAGGCACGTATGCCATAACGGGCCTTTGGAAAAAGAACTCAATTCTGTGTTTAGCAAATTGGGCCGTATTTCTCACAATAATACTAAGTCCATCCTTTAATTAATAATCCTAATATAAAAGGATGAATATTATATTTGTTTAATTTCAAATATATTAATTCATTAGCTTTTCTAGTTTTTTATGATTAAAGAATAAAGATAAAATGATGTAAACAAATTCTTACACACAAGTGTCCTCAAGTAGTGACATTGATCTCCTTCTTTAGAGATCCATGGTTTGAATCTCTTTTTGGATGTATATATGTGATCAAGGTTGTAAAAATCGGTAATCGGGTCCGAGTCGGTCAGGCACCGACTCACGATTAATCGGTGCGGCGGTGATTAATCGGTGATAAATCGGAAATAAATCGGTTTTTAAAATTTAATATAATATATTTGTAGATATTATTTATAAACACTCAAAACATAGATAAAAAATATTTAAACATAGTTATATCTCCATCATGTATATATATTCTAAAACATAATAAAAGTTTAATAATAATAAGATCATAATACATAAATATCCTTATAAAATATAAATAAAAAGGCAATTTTTTTTGAATTTACATACATTCTTGGCATACATCATTAGTTATTTAAAAATAATAATTAACATAAACAAAATAAAGCATAAACTCTTTTTTTTTATTAAAATCCCAACTTTTATTTAGATTTATAAAAAAAAAAAAAAAAAAAAAAAAACGGATTTTTGACCGATTTTTTGCCGATTTGACCGCCTCGGACCGCCTCAGACCGCCTCGGACCGCCTCAAACCGCCTCACAGGCAAAAAACCGATTTTTCAAACCTTTACACTAAAATCGTAAAGGTTTTGGACCGCCTCCGCCTCGGCGACCGATTAATCGGCCGCCTCGGCCGATTTTTAGAACACTGTATGTGATGCACGTAATTTTCAATAATTAGTAAATAAAATAAATACACTCTATTATAGAATTATATATATACACACACATTTATATGTAATTTTTAAAATTTACTTTATAACTTTATTTGAACGGTAGACACAACCATGATAGTGTATGCAAAAACTTTTAAGAACAACAAGTTATAAGCTTGTTTTGATTCATAATCTATTCTTAAGTGTCTGCAAACACTTTAATAAGTGAAAAATAGCATTGGACATTTGTGTCAATATTTTACTTTATCTAAATTCACTTAAAATTAGGATCATATATATATATATATATATATATATATATATATATATATATATATATATTCTTAATTAAAAGATAAAGTAAGCTGAAAATCAAAATTTGTTTGTGAACACCAACTTCTAAAATAGTTGATTAAAGTCAACACGTGAGGACATTTGTAAGCAACACTATCAAATATTTAGAAATAAAACAGTTGTAATTCAAGTTTACTTATAATCACTAACTTCTCATTTCGGAATATATTATGCAAACACCACCTCCATATTTCGCGCATGAATAACATGAAAAAAAAACACAAATACATCATAGACAAAAGACCCTTTTTTCGTATTCATGTTATAACAATTTAATCTAATTTTTTTGGTACATAAACTTTTCTAATCCAAAAAATGTGAACAAACATGCAAAAAATTGAAAAGGAAAACAACCCATCCATCCATAGGAATGAATGTCGTATTGATGTTGATTGTTGCCCGAATATATAATAAAATTAGTTAGAGTTGTAGTAAAGAAGCAACTATAGTCTAATATATATATATATATATATATATATATATATATATATATATATCCCAATCATGACATACGTTCATGGTTTTGTAGAATTGAACATCTGGTGAAATATATCATGTAGTTTTATACTATCGATTTACATATAATAACACAAATATATATCCATGTGTATATGTGCTTATTGCGTAATTATTTAAATAAATTTGCAGTTTAAAACTATGTAGTGTATTTCACCAGCCATACTACGATCTCATAAACCATAGTATACTGTTCATTTCATTGCGCCAAAGATTGTATACACATGTACACAACTATCAAATAAGTTGCATGCATTCCATATTATTTACAGCAATTTTGGAAATTAAATATACCACAAATACATCCTTATTTTCGAACAAGTTCATTCCTAGTGCTTTATTACATTTTATTTATTTATGATTACAATACGAATGTTTCTATTTTCATCTTTCCATCAAATTGAAATAAAATATTTTTATTTAACAAAACAAATAAAATTATATTTTCCACGGGACTAAGGAACTTCTACTAACCGCATAATTGGGCACTGTAGGCAGAGAACTGTCGCATTCTTTCTGTTAGGCTTTTCCCTCTTAACGATTTTAGATCTACTAGCCTGTCCCCCCACCAGCAAGTTTTTCCCCGCCAAAATTTCAATTCCAAGCAATTCACTCCGACCCTTCGTTCAATTCCGATCTACGGTCTAGATTGTTCTCCACTGTAACCCCTCTGTAGACGCGCACACATCGGATACTTTCTTCCCACGCTTTATATTTTCTGCTGCCTGTTTGTTTGCGTTTATTCACAAATTAAATTCTAATTTCTAACCCCCTCTTCTTCCCCAGAAATCCGCCGTCTGCAAAAATGCAAAAGGAGAACGTTTCGTACGATTCGTTAATTACTTCCTCCGCCGCCGCCGCCGATAAATCCTCCGCCTCCGCGGCGTCGATGCTGCACTTCTCCGGCGGCAATCCGTTCCTCTCCCCCAATTCACCGACCTACGTGAACTCCGACGCCTCATTGTACACCTCCCTCTTCCAGAACCACTCCCCGTCGGAAAACGCCTCGTTCGACGGCGGAGACACCGATCGCCGCCTCCACGACGCCAGCCGCGTCCTCGAGTACCAGCAGCTCTACAACGACTACACACTCTGCCTCGCTCAGCTCTGCGATTCCGTCGAAGAGGTGGAAGCGCTCCGCCGCGAGAATGATTCCCTCCGCCTCTCCAATGCGGATCTCTCCCACCGAGTCGCCTTACTTTTCTCCCGCGATCGGCTTCTCTCCGGCTTCAACCGCCTCAACCTCGGCTCCACCTCAGCAGCCGCCGCCGCCGCGCCGCCGCGCGCGGCGGCGGCTCACATCGCAGCAACTCAACCTCTCACCGTACGCAATCGAGCCGATCGGAAGGGAACTGAAAGAGTTACGCTTCCGAAGAGCATTTCGGTGCGATCCAGTGGCTATCTGAAGATGCCTCGACCGATTTCCGACGCGACTGAGAATAAAGCACTACTGAGTCAACCCGCTGCTGCATCGGTGAGTCAATTAGATCTCTAGCAATTCATTTCCGTTTCCAAATGACGCTGAATGATTTTCCCTTTCTAAATTGCTGATTCAATAAATTTTAATTTCTCTCAACAATTTTTGGTGCAATTTGTATTTATCAGATTTGAATATCAAAAATCCAATTTACTAGAAACTGATGCTACAGTAGTTGAAAATTGAAATTATAATTAAATTTGGCTGGTTTAATTTAATTTGGGTGGTATTCTCTGTGATCGCGTGCAGCAGAGGGTGTATGTACCAGCAGGATCCAAAAAGGAAGAACCACTGGAGCTGGATGTATACAACCAAGGAATGTGGAAAACCGAGCTCTGCAACAAATGGCAGGAGACCGGCGCGTGTCCGTACGTCGACAACTGCCAATTTGCCCATGGAATCAAAGAGCTCCGGCCGGTGATCAGGCACCCACGCTACAAGACAGAGGTCTGCCGCTTGTTGCTCGCCGGAGGCAGCTGCCCGTACGGCCACCGCTGCCACTTCCGCCATTCTCTCACTGAGCAGGAGCGCCTCACGGCGGCCGCGCCACCACCACCACTACCTCGTTGATATATTAATTTGGTGAGTAATAAGAAATCGAAAATTTCCTTGATTCAATTTTGGGGATTAATTAAAATTGGGTACTTGTAAAGTGGTTGATCCTATAATTAATTTCATTTTTGAGTGATGCATTGCATTCAATACTTTCATCAAATATTCGGTATAAAATTTTGCTTGCTATTCGGTATAACTTGGTAAATATTTACACATTTGGAGCAAGTCATATATATGTTGGTTAAAGATATTGTAATATCGTTGTTAATATTTTGTCGCTATTTTTATATTTTTGGATTTATAACGAATGTTGTTTATTTAATTTATGAAATGTGATTCCTTCTCAAATATATTTCTCAACACTTGTAAAAGAAATAAAATAAAATAAAACTAAAAAAATCAATTAGTACGTAATAACTAATTTTGACAGATTAATGATATACAATTAACAATCAACAAAGCAATCAATGCAAACTTCTTGGATTTCTTTCGTAGGGATGGCAACGGGACGAGTATGGGACGGATTTTGCAATCCCGTTTCAAAATCCCCATCCCCATCCCCATCCCTGTAAAATTCCCCGTCGGTTATCCCCATTCCCGTCCACATGAACATTATGCGGGTACCCGCCCCGCTAAAATCCCCGAATATATTTCAAATTATTCTTGTGAAAAGGAGCTAAAACAATAAAAACTAAATTAAATTTCATGAAAACAAAATTAAATGAAAAATATATTTAGATTAATAGTACAATATATATATTAAAATAAAATAACGGAGCAGAAATGCGGGGCAGGAACATGAAAGGTATAGCAAAACTCTTCCTCACCCGGTCCGCTATCGATTTAAAATTATGCATGAATTCCTATACCCGCCCCATATTTTACGGGGCAGAAAATACTCGCTATTTTTCAAGGCGGGGCCGGGCGGGTACCCAACGGGATGGATCAAATTGCCACCAACAACCGTTTGGTACGGTGATGCTTATTGGCCTTAAGTACACTTCCAAAACAAACTACCAACAAATTAAGTCAACTAATGTAGAATTTCGTACTATAATTTTTTTTAATTATTTCCCTAAGTGCAGCTTTGTGTTCCTTGGTACGTAGTTATGTTATTTAATAGGTAACAATGTTTAACTACATAAATTACAATTTTGGTTATGTGAATGTATTTATGACATATTTAGTCCTATTTCATCTTGTTTGATTTAGTCCTATTACCACGAATACATTGCATGTGTAGTATCTCGCAGTGACAGAGTTAGCATAAAGCCAAGGTGGGCCATATTCCCCAACATTTCTTAAATCTCTATCAATTTATATCGAAATATAATTTTTTTTGTTTACAACAACATTAACAGCCCTCTTCAGAATTTCTTTAATGCATTTGGCCCCCGAGCTTGAAATCTTGACTCCGCCATTGGTGTTGGCAGTGTGTAAACATTATTTGGTCAATCGTTGAACTCACTTTAGGTTCGGTTGTAGATTATTTCAAAATAAGAAGAAAAAAGACCTATAGCTAATTTATAAGTCCTCGTTTGATTCCTAAGATAAGATTCTGATTATATCCAATATATATTCTCTCGATTAATGAAGATTATAGTCGTTTTTTTCTATAATTGCGGAGTCGGCCAAAAGGTTATTGGAGCAACCAAACGAGGACGGATAAAACGTGCTACTAATATATTTACAACACCAAATTTACATTTCCTTATTTATTCAACCATCAATTTATCAATCCGACTTTATTTGGATCGAATGATTTGAAATAATTCTAAGCGAGAAGGATTTGAAATGTCTCGAAATGGCAAAACATTGAAATCCCCAACGATTTCTCAAAATTCTTTGATCTATTCGTCGTCTAACTACTTCATATTATTTTTTATAAATGCAAAACTGAAGGTGAAGAAGCCGTCTAACTACTTCATATTATTTTTTATAAATGCAAAACTGAAGGTGAAGAAGCAGTTAGTTCTATAGTCTTAGCTTCCAAGTTTCATTTCCATTTCATATATTATTCTTTAGAAGTAATTGATACTCCACGTTTTAATAATTTAGCTGAGTTTTTTGACCATTTATATATATCAAAAATTCAAAACATCAACAGTTACGTAGTTCGATATTCGGGGTAAGCTTCGACCCCGATCCGAAGCCCACAAGAATTGGCGATTTTGAACACAAATGGATTTTCAATTTAACTTCACAAAAGCAGCCCAATATCAAAATTAACTTTGTTTATTTATACTCCAGCTAAAAGTATATAAGAAATTAGTCATCCTCGGCCGGTCGGCCGAGAAAGACGCGCGAAAGAGGTATGACCAGCGCGCCAAGGATCTATTGAGAGTTTGTTAATGGTAGCATAATATATTAGCGTAGATTTATACTATCTAAATCGAGGAGCTAACTTGAGGAATTAATGATACATGGATTTTTAATAGGGAAAAAAATGATCAAAAAGACGCTTAATATGAAACGGAGATAGTATAGTTTAAGAGAATGTTTTGTTTTTTATATTACTAGTGACCAATATGGTTACCGAATCGGAAAATATCGGCGTATCGTTTTTCTCCATGTATCTTATTGTATTGTTATCGTATCGTATGATATTTAACTAACTATTAAAAACAATAAAATATATATATTTACATAATAGAAATATTATAAACCTGTAAAATTTAATATTTTAAAGTCAAATCAAGTTTCAATTTATGAAAATTGCACACGCACCTCAAATAAGCTAAAAATTGAATCAATCACCACAAATCAACTATCCCACCTCAAATTAAGCAAACCCATCACAAAATCGAACATACCCAAGGCTAATTGAGCACAAAAAGAACGAAAAAGTGCCGTAAATCGCGACCCCGTTCAAATTGTGCGAAACTCATTCAAATTTGCACTTGAATCGCAAAAAAAATAACAAGAATTTATAGAAATTGAGTTAGGGTTGTCATATTGTGATAATATTTGAAGAAATTGAAGAGAGAAATGTGGATTAGGGTTGTGAATTTAAAGGGTTATTTTGAAATTTGTTTTTCAGCCCTAGAACTGTAAATATTTCGGTTTTGTTTTTTTGTTTGTTGAATAGTTTGACTAATATCATAAATATTGTATCGTATATCGTGATATGGCGATACAATATGATATCTCACAATATTTACCGATTTTTAAACATAGCCGATACATAGTCCGAGTCGTATTGTTTCGATTGGGACCGTACCTTATCGCATAAATATTGCGATATCTCACGAGTTAAACTACAATAGTCACTTTAATAATGCAATAAATGATTTTTTTTCCCTTCCGTTTTACCCTTATTGATGGAACCTCATTAGACATTAATAATTCTCTCTTTTATCACCTCCTCATCAAAGGGTAAATATTGTTTTAGTATTTTTTATGTATATATTTTTTTTAAATTCAAACTCTTTTTTTGTATTTTACGAAAATCCTAGACGACAGATATTACGAAACAAAGGGGTTCACCGCACATTGATGCACCCACTCTCGATTTCTAAAAATTTCTACTAAATACTATAGCTATATGTAATTAACTCACCCAAGTAATTTAATTTAGCCCACCCACCAAATAAATTATGTGTTATTAGTTGAAGTTTATAAAATTTTAGTTATTTTGTTCTACTTTATATGAATGAAATTAAAAAAGAAAAAATCTCAATGACTCCTATCCCAAACCCTCGTGAATATTAAGCCCACCCTATCTCGAATTGGGATGTGGAAACATTCTAAAACTATTGGGACAAGAGGAGGATAAAATATAAAATTCCCAAATTAGAGGAATAAAATTTGAAGGTAGGGGGTGATGACACGTGGAGGAATAGAGTGCCACCGCCCCACTATGTGACTATGTGTGCTACTTTACAGATACATATACACATATACATATAGCAATAGTCTCTGAAAGAAAAAAAGGGTTCCTTTTTGGGTTAAGATGATAAGGAATTTGTGATGATATGAAAATTCTTTTGTTCTCCATTCTTCTGACAAGATGATGTTTTGTCCAATATCTCTAACTCTTTGAATCCAATAATCTTCTCAATGATTTTTATTATTGTTTTCTATAACTAGAAAGATTTTAGTTGTCAAATTTCACAAACTTACTACTGGTCACAATCGATTATCAGTATCATATTTTATAATAAAGTTGATATTTAACCTTGATTAATGTTAGATTTATTTCGTGCAAATATTATATATTAATTTGTGTCAGATTAAATTTTTCGTTACTGTTGATGTTGATGTAACTGTTGTAATAGTTCGTAAAAATAAAATTAAAAAAAAACACAAATTTAATGTGGTTCAGATACGATTGTACCCTACATCCATGAGGATCTGCAAAAAATGAATTTCAAAGTTTTTCGAGTACAATATTAGGTTTTAAAAAAAAAAAAATCATGCATGGGTGTAGCTCAATTGGTTTCGGGGTGGTAAGTTGGTACAAGGTCCTAGGATCGAATCCTGACAGCCGCAGTGTGAGAATTTCAACTCCAATATGAGGGTTGGTTCCTTGTGGACACCAAGTTCGGGTCCGCTACTCTAACAGGCCGTTGAATTACCGTAATTTACATTCCTCTATCAATACTTGTCGGGCCAAAGGATGGGGCCCTGGGCTTTTGGTACAAGGTTTTAAATAAAAAAACTAAAGCCTCCCACTTTATTTTGACACCGTTCTTTTAAAGTTAAAAACGAAATTTGTAACTCCAACCTTTGACCTTTCAGTGCAATTTGAATCGATGCTAAGCAAGGTCTGAACGATAGAGCTATGATAAAACTACCTTACATTGACTTTATTATACACCCTCCTTTTCAGTCGTTTTGGGTTATTGTACACATATTAAAAAAAATCAATAAATATGCATAAATTATAATAAAAATTATATATAATTACTAAAATACTCATGGAATCATTAATTGTTTCACAACTAATTAATTAAGAGTAAGAAAATGATAAAATTGAAAATAACACTTTATTGAAAACCTGAAAGGAGAAATAATCTGGTACCCAAAAACAAAAAGAAAAAACTCTACGAAGTGACCAATAATCTCACAAATTACAAAGCATAAAAGTTAATTGTAGATCTATTTGGGTAAAATAGTCGTTAATCAACCTATAAAAAATGTTATTAAGTGATAAAGCAAGGGGTACTTATAACTAATTAATTAAATTTTGGTGTCTTCCTTGGAGCTAATTAGGGTTCATTGCTAGCTAGGGACTTACAGCCAATTTCTCGTCATGTATTTCCAATTAGACTGCGGCAATAATAAATACAAAATATACGGTCC